TTATCGGCGGCCTTCTTTGCCTTTGAAGGCGCAGTATAATAAATATCAGGTAGCTGATGAGATAGCGGGCTGTGTATTTATAATTAAATGAAGTCAAATGAGGCAGCGTGGGAGATAAACAAAGGCCAAAGCCAAGTCTTGTGACCAACAATAAACCGATAAGTTAACCCAATCCAAAGAGTTTTTCGAATCTAGCAGATGAGAGGTCGCCTGTTAATAAATCATTCTGTCCATAAACTAATTGAGCTGTTTAGCCATTTTTGGGTTCCCTGATCCGGGGCTCACGTGTCAATCCCCCGGGTCGACTGTTGCCCACACATCCTTGTTTATGCTTTACTGCCTTGCCTGCTTAATTCCACATGTTTAGGCCAATTTCAAAAGCAATAAATTTGTAAAGCAAATCATAACGCTGAATTCGACTAGCAAGGACGACGACAGCAAACCTGAACCTGAGATCCGAGACAATCGGTAGCGTAATGTGTTCGGCTGAGCAATAATGACAGATAATTATATTGATATATATGAGCAATCTACGAGATTGAATGCCAAATTGATTGCTGTGGCGGCTCATGTGGCATTGAAATGGCCAATGGCAGGGTGTGAAAATCGATTAAATACGTATCTATGCATATGGTTAGGAAAAAATCATTGGTAAGAATGGAAATATATAATTAACATCTTCCTTCCTGAACAACTTTTCATTGAGAATGAAATTCTTTTAAAATCTAGTTACTCCTCAACTTCTTGGCCAGACGAAAAAATCCAATCGTTTTGCCAAAATCACTCTGAGCCATAAATAATTCCGCTGAATTTAGCAGAGCATTAAACTCCCTGAACTGAGAACATTTTCCTTGAGTTATTAAAAATGAATGCGGACAATTTGGCTAAGTGCATTTGACTCCATTCGGCGCGCACTTACATTAGTACCTCTATACTATATATATACTGATATATATTTGCATGTTTGTGTGGATATCTGGTGCTTAGATAACAAAATTTAATTCGTCGCAATTTCTTTCATGAAAAGAAATACGAAAACTGTTTGTTTACAAAGTGTCAGGCAGGCGAAATGTCGGCACCAACAATGCCAGCAGGCATTGTGACTTGCACACACTCGTGTATAAATAGATATAGTATCTGAACGTCATATATATGCATGTCCGACTGTCAGAACTTCCCGACGATTTTAGTGCTTCTTGAGAGCCAAAAGCCAGACAAGTCTTCAGGTCATTGCATTTATTAATAACACAATTCTGGGGAAAGCGAAAGCAGTGAAAATTCAAATTTCGAAATCACCTTACTTATTCCCATATGCACTATATCTATATAGTTATAGTATTGGATATAGTAAGTGGATAGTTATAATTAGCGGCTTGTGGGGTGTGCGGGTTAATTGAGGGATCCCATATTCTTCTTCGATCATAAATAAGCCAGTGAAAGCACCTCACAGGTGTTATTAAGGGCTGTACATTGAGACTGTCGTTCAGGGATTATCGACTTTTCGAGGCGATTATAATGCCACGAGCGTCACGCAGCGTGTAACTAAAAGCCATGTGATGGGCTTGATTTACGAGGCGATAGCTAGAGTCAAATTAAAGCAAATGAAGTAGTGAAAAATCAGAGGGCTGTAAATCACTGGAATGGAAAATAAATAAATAAAAGTCATGGAAATGGTTTGTAGGATAATATCCCTTTTAGTGACTATTAAAAGTTGAATTAAAGAAACATTTTCGCTCGTTCACATTATTTTCAGTCATTTTTCCTCTCCTATAATGTTGATTTTACTCTCCCAGATAATTCTTTGTTTGGATTTTGTTCCCATGTAGCACTCCCCACCCACTAGGATTGCTTTTTCAACACTCGACTTTACACGACTCCAATTAGTTGTGGCAATTAATTTATATTAAAAAGCCACGTTAAACGTATTTGCATGCACATTGCTCATACGACGCGTGGGCCAGGTAACAGTTAAGCGACTTAGCTTCTGTTTGACTTGACTGCCATTTTTTTTATTAAGCGTCATTTCATAATCGTTATGCAAAGCGCAAACACAATAACCGTTGGCCAAACTATGGCAACGCCCACGTCAAGCCTGATGTGAAGGACGAGGGGCGGGATCGAGGATGGGGAGCAGACGCAGGAGCAGGAGCAGCCAGCTGCCAGCGACAGGCAACGACATCAATGACAACAACAGCACTGGCATAACACTAATGAAAATTGGTGAGTGAGCAGGCGGGGCAGGACGTCGAGGGAGGGGGAGGACAACAGTGGACAACATTGACGTTGCATTTTATCCTCGGCTGAAGACAAGACCACAGCAACAACCCCAAACACGGACGGCTGGAAAGGCTCATCGGATGAGTGCTCTTTCGGCAGGCACAGTGGTCAAGGATACACGTTTTGAGGATTATCTCAAAGATCCACCAAGGTCGAATGAGAGCTGACTGTTGTATTTTTAAAGAAGAAGTTTAAATTCTTCCAAAGATTTCTTAATATACAACTTTAAGGTCTGTAAATTTGGATTGACACTAATTAGCAACAAATAATTATTTTGACATGCTCATTAAAATCAAATCGAAGGCTCTTCTATTTTTATACACCTTTTGTTCACACCTTGAACCACTGTGCAATCGATGCAAATTATGGCCAAAAACAATGTCAGCCGGCAACAACATGAGCGATACAAACGAGCGTGTTGCCGTTGTCATTTGACGTTGCTTGTAGGTTGTGGTTGTTGCTGCTGCTGTTGCTGTTGCACAGTGTTGTTGGCGCTGACAGGCGCAGCGAACGTTGCAGCTCGTCACAGCTGCAAGTGAAAGTCAAACATGAAACGCTTTTAGACTCTGGCACACACATTTACACTCGGCCAGGAGCACACATGGGCACACAATTTGCCAGCTATTTAGCGGGCGGAGGGGGCAGGGATTCTCTTGTGCATCGTTTCAGGGTCAACTGCTATTTACAGTCAATGTCAGCGTAAGTTGCACTCAAAAAAAGGTTTCGATTAAATCGAAGATTCGCTGATTTAAGTGGTAATAATAGGTATCTATTTAATCAGAAGATTACCCACATTTTTCTGATATCGCCAAATTGCGCTTCGAAGTTAAAATTTGTTTCCACAGCAAAAGTGAAATAATGCCATGTTCATGTTATTTGTTTTCGGACGGTGATTTGGATATATCAAAGCATTCTCTTACTTAGCCAAAAATACATTTAAATCATAAAAGTTCTGTTGATAAAAGACACTTCTTCGACCAATTTTTCAAGTGTATCCACAAGCATGTGTGCGTTGGTTGGGCTGGGCAAAGGATTTACTAAAACCGACAGAACGGCAGTCAGTCAACAGTTTTGGGGGGAAACGCCCACACATCCATTAACAGCGTCATTTTGGCCATTATCGTTATTATCAGCCACCAACGCTGCGCCTCGGGACGTGCTCGGCATCGTCATAGGTCTTAAATGCCCGCATTCTCGTATAGAGATGGCTCGCACATTCAAAATTTGACTAAGCCGCTCCGAACTGCTCCCGTGTCGTGCCTTGCCATTTTGGCCCGCTTACTGGGCGATCACATCCACGGGGGCCTGTCGAAAGTATTTATTTGCTCGGGCAAACAAACAGTGTGACTGTCGCGGTTCTTTATGATTTTATTGCCATTGTTCTGTTACCCTCTTTGGTTTTGTGGCGAGACAAAAGCCACAAGCTCCTGAAATTTCAATTAGCATTCGGCTGAATTGATCGTGTGTGGGCGTCGTTGAATCGCTGGCAAGATCGAAAATCGATCTCAGATTCAATGCGAACTTAAAGACCAGGTCAAGGCCGAGCTGTTTGGTTTTCAAGTAGAGAATTTGTTTGGAAGATGCTCGAAGTAAGCCAAGTTGAGCTTACAAGTTAAAGTAGAATCATGAGTTGGCAGAAATAATAGAAGAAAATCATTATAAATTGATTGCCACAATTAATCTATTATTTAATATTAATATGCATTTAATACCATCATTATAGTTTTGTTATATCCTTTAGTTCCCATTATATCTGCCTATAACATTCTTAACCCTCATCAAATTCATAAAAAACGCACATTAAATTCTGCACTCTTAACTGCCTGCCAAAGCTCTGAGATGGAGTCTGTCTGAGAAAATAAGTAAAGTCTACACAATCTAGTGATTCGACAACGGGATACCCCTTCACTGCACTACTTCTTCTGTGAACCATCAATGTCTCTCTAATATTTGTTCCAGCTCTTTTATTTCCGCATATGACTAAGAATACTATGAATACTGAAGTTCAGTATAAGAGGCATAGGCACACCCTTACTGCTTCCCACAGATTCCGTATAAAAAGCAGTCAAACAACAACTCCGAAAAGACTGAAGCCTTAACCTGACACGAAGCAGAGAAGGAGATCCGAGGAGCAGCAGGTAAACAAAGGAAACAAGGCCAGTCTGAAAGGGTTTCAAGGTTGTAAATTACCGGCTTAAAGTGTTAAAACTTAAAAGGAACTGCACAAATCCAATCCGCAGATGCAGCTGTCTGCGCGAGAACAAGTTTGTGGAGTGCCAGATACAAGATACAATACACCAAGGGGCATGCGACACCATGGCGAGGGGAGTGCAAGTATACAGGCGAAACTTTGAAGGTCAAATGGCTTGAGCGACGTCGGCGACGATAACTACTCTGGTGTCTATATAAAAGTGCTATATAACGAAAATGACACAGCCGAGCTGGTGGCGGGCATGAAGTGAAAGTTTTTAGAACAATAAATATTACGCATACGCCGGGTGGAAAATAACTCAACTCGAGGCGAACTTTTCCTTTTACTTGGCCAACGGAAAAATTGCCAACCTACTACCTACTCCCTTTGCCAACCAGCTAAATGAAATGTCCAAAAAGTTGGCTAAACTGTTGTTGTTGGGCCAAACTTTTGAACTGACTTTATAACAACTTTTTCGTTGGATCGGAAGGTAGGAATATAGTTGGGAAAAAGGGGTCAGCGCGGGGGAAAGGCATTTATGATGACCTCAATGCTCGTCGCACGTGCTTCAATTGTTTTGCAAATAAATTGCAAGTTTCTTCTTTGTTCCTCGCTGTTTTGACTTGCGGAAATATTTTGGGAAATCATTTTTAATACCCTAAAAACTTTGTTGAAGGTTGAGTTGCCCATCGTGCAGGCTATGAAGGATGTTAAACTATTTTTTTTGAATATTTGATAAAATTCTCATGTTCCTTAATGAAAAGTTTAGTTTTTAATGATGATATGCTCTGAATAAGCTTTGCAGCCTGAGCTGTTTGGTGACAAAGATTATTTCCTACTATTCATTTTGTTTATCACTTAAGGCTTAGCCGAATCATCAAAAGATAACACAATATTGTAATAAGTACTAATATATTAACAAGGTGGTAATGTGTATTTCCTGTTTGGGGAGTCGCTTTTCCACGCGCCGTCACCTTTCCCTGTTTTTCCCACCTCGATTGGGCAGTGAAGTGCGTTGACTTCGCTTATGTCACCCTTTGAGTCCGTCACGGAGTAACCTCCTCTCGATTTCTCTGCCGTTTCCCTTAGTGCTTATATTTATATTTATTTTTATTTTAATTATGCAATGTTTTGAGCCTCTTAGGGTGATTGTTTGCGCGCGTGTTCCCTTTGGCAAGACTAAGGAGACTCGGCAAATAAAAACGTCAAATTTAATTGATTTATGACCAGTGATTCACTTTGCCTCCTCAAATTGAGGAATTGCTTTTGTTTTTTTTTGTTTTCTTGTAGTTTTTATTTTGTAAAGTCAGGCTGTAGCTTTCGCTTCCTATTTTATGTCACATCCCCAAGTGTCAATCACCCATAAAAACAGGAATAAGTCTAAGGGAGTAAATGATATAATAAGAATATTCCATGGCACGGAAAGGATCAAGTTGCAGTAGCTAATGGTTGGAATAAAATACATTTAGCAAATGATCTAGACCTGTTTGATTATTGTGATTATTTAGGTGGTAAGATTCTCTCCCGTCTCCCACTTTCTTAATTCTAAATATCAACTGCAACCAGCACTTACCACATGTAAACCAATTCTAAGCCTAAAACTGAGTTAAATTAAGGTTGGATTTTTAGTTTATGTTTTTATACAAGGGGTGCTCTGTGCAATCTAGTTGATCTTTTTGTTTTAGCTTCCGCTCTCGAAAGAGTCCATACTTTACTTACAACGCTGTGCTTTTAAGTGTTGGTACTAACTAAATCGAAGTCTAGAAAGAAAAGCTTTAACATACAGTGGAGATTGGGCTACTGAAAAACATAAATAAAATCTACGGAAAAGGAAAGGAATCTCAAAATCTGGGTGTTGGAAAAGAGTGGTAATAATTTGGAACAAAAGTGGTGGAAGAAGCATCGAAAAGAGGGAGCGTGGTGGGACTTACTGCCAGGAGAAGCTGCCGGTGATGCCGTCCTTAAGTCGATCGCGCAGGGATCGCTGGCGACTAGGCCCCGATCCCGTTAGGGGCGGCAGATGGGCGTTCTCGCCGTCCTCCATCACAGTGGCTATGTTCGAGGCGGACGTGGAGATCGGCGCGCCGGCGTGCTCCATGATCGGCGGCTGGTGGTGGTGATAGTACTGGTGGTTCGACTGCTGATGATGTGGCGATCCCGGCCCCGATCCGGTTCCAGAACCCGGCGCCCCTGACGAAGGATCTCTGCTGTTCAGAGTGCGGCGGAAGGAGCCGTGGCGAGGCGAGTTTTCGCGAGACATTTCGGATCGATTGCAATTTCGATTTTAAGCGGTTTGGTTTGGCGGTTAGTTATCGATAGAAATTTCGCATAAAACAATTAGAAGCATAAAACAATTAGTTCAATTGGAGCCAATTATCTGAGGCTTTGTCTTTTTTGCTTTGGTTTTGATTTGGTTTTAGATGAAGAAAACGAGCGAGCGAGTTGAACTTGCTTTGATATCTTGGTTTTAGTTTAACTTTGTTGCTTAGGTGGTGAGTTTATTGAGGTTTAAATTGCACATAGAGCCAAAAGTATTAACGGTGTGTAAAAGTTGGCTATTCGAAGGGGTAAGGCATGTACCAAAGAAAAGTATCAAAAAAGAGTACAGTTGAAAAACAGTATAGAAAAACGATTCTCATACGACGAAAAAGTATGGGTTGGGCATACGCGACACTTAGAGGTAAACTCATTCGTTGGGTTTCTTGGCTTTTGGATATGGAAATGGTGCTGGGGTTATATAATATAAAGCAGATATATGTAGTTGGGTGTATGTTCGATTGTATAAGAGTTGTATTAAAAAAGTTAGTATAGATACAGGAGTTGAAAATGTAAAAGATTTTGTACAGTTCTTGGAATTACACAGAGATATTGGAGAAAAATAAAATATAGAATCTTTATAAAGTGATTAATTCGTTTGTAAATAATATTGTTAGAAAATAAAAGAGCATAGAGTATAGACTTAAAGCATGTTTTACAGGAGTAATATATGAGCGGAATATAGGTTAGATTCGAGCTGTTTTGAAGTTGTGTTAGAGCCGAATAAGAGTCAAAAGCGATCGCAAGCAGCATGCCTTCTATAGCTATAGTTATAGTATAATTCTTAAAGGAATCAGGAAGAAAGAGCTTTTGAAAAATGTGGAAAAGTCCGACAAGTTCAGACGGGTTGGTGATGGAAAATGTTAGAACTTTTGGAGGAAGGAAAAACGCACATTTCAGATCGTGTGGCGTCGCCTTTCCGCGGGATTTCAGGAATCTGGACACGGATTGTGTGAGTGTAGTCGGTATCGGTATCGGTATCGGTGTCGGGTTATCCAATGGCTTACAAAATCAGGAACTGAAAACTGATCTCTGACTGTTCGGGTAGGTAGAGAGAGTCTGTATTTACATGTGTCTGGATAGTTGGTTAGTTGGCTAGTTGGGTGGTAGACTCAGTATCCGGAGCTTGGGAGCTGCAGCCGGGTTAGCTATAGGTGGCATAGCAGATACTGGGCATAGCGTGTTCAGCCGAGGCAGGAGCTGCATTCGCTGCACATTCGAAGGCACACAAACAGGAGGAGTGGTAGTTCATTACTTTCATTACGGGTTGGAACGATCAAACAGTACATTTAGTTAGACATTTATACGGGGAGCAAGGCAATCTATATTTGATATAGGTATTTGGTAGTTAATATTCTGTATTTGCTGTTCTCCTCTAGTGTTTGTTTAATATGTTCTATTCAGTGTTGTGACTTGGCTGTCTTTACTCCTAAATGTTGCGTAAATAGCAGTTAGCAGTTGTATCTATGTAGCTACAGGCGGACGATTAGAGTAGATATACTGGACTGGGTATGGGCTAGTTGGGTGTCTGCTGTTCGGGCATTGTTGCTTAATTAGCTTTAGCTATTCATAATTTAATTATTTAATTAGCAATATGCATATGCTGTTTGATATTGGTTCAGTGTGGTTCTGTGTTTCTGTTTGCATTTGTATTCTTGTTCGTATTGGTTTAGTGCTGCAATTTGTTTCTGGTTCGAGTACTTGGGGTCTTTGTGGCGTGTTCGAGTTGGTTTCAGATTAGTTGTGTGCGCTATAAACTCGTGTTAATAGCATTATCTTTATATTTATATCTTTTATAAGTGGATTAGATATTGGGTATCTGATGGGCAACGAACCTGCAAAGAAAGGGAAAAGAGAAAGGTTGTTAGATGCCTTTTTGTTAATATCCAAAAAATATACATTAAACTCAGTTAAGTTTATTATTCCAAGTTCAAACAGGAGGGTTCTCAAGTCGATTGAGCCATGTCCGTCTGTCCGTCAGTCCGTCCGTCCGTCCGTCCGTCCGTCCGTCCGTCCGTCCGTCCGTCCGTCCGTATGAACGCTGAGATCTCAGAAACTATGAGAGATACAAAGTTGAGATTAAGCATGAAGATTCTTGAGGTCCCCACGCAGCGCATCAGCATTCAGCACGCCCACTCTAACGCCCACAAATCATAGAAAACTAAAATCGCTGAATTCTCAGAAATATTAGAGCTACAATATTGAGATTAAGTATGTATATTCTTGAGATGCCAGCTTATCTTATGGTGGTACCATTATCCGGCCACACCCACTCTTACGCCCACCATGCTCGATAGACGGGTTTAGCTTTTTGTAGAAAAACAGATATCTTGGTAATTGTAGGTTTTTATGATGCTCCTAATGCAAATTATTGTTTTTCCATTTAGCCACACCCACTCTAACGCCCACAAGCCGCGGAAAACTGTGGCGTCCATAATATTATTATTGTGGATGTCTTCGTTTGACCTTGTATGACATATTTTGGTCAATATCTATCGATTTACCAAAGATTTTTAAAATCGGAACATTATATCGCTATTTATGAAGAAATTTTGGTTATAAGGCCTCACATGGTTTGTGACGTTACTGTCTGTTGCTCAACATGCTATGTCCGACAATAGGTGGCGCTTTGTGGATTTCCACTAGCAAAAGGAATATTTTAAAATTGTGTAAAACAGTAACGGGTATCTTATAGTCGCGGCACTCGGTTATAACGTTTCTTCTTTCTATATTTTATAATAGTTAAGCTTAATTTGAAAACAGACAAGAAGTCGTTGAATTTGAATATCATCCTGGATGGCCTTAACAATAAGAATTATACAATTTTAACAAATATTTCTGATAAACCATAAGCAATATCACATCGGCAATCAAGTTTCATCCTCATCAAAACGGACGTGCAAACAGAAAACAAGTAAAATGCATATAAAATATAAAATGAAATCCGAATTCCTGCAAGGACATTCTGCCATTCGGAACAACAACATCAACCATTTCCGGAGGACACTAAAAATATCTTCATCACTGTTCGCTTGTCGATTGGCAGAAATCCATTTTCCCCATCAAAATGCGCTAAATAAACGCACTCAATGCCATTCCGAAATGGGCATGTTCGGAATGCCCGCTCACGCCATCGCCGATGATTTCCCCCATTTTCCGTTTACTTTTCGTACGAATTGTAACAGGATATGCAGTTAAACAAGAAGCAGAGAACCACTCCTCCGAGTCCCCCCATCTAGCACGTGGCCAAAGACCCAATGTCAAATCGCATTAGAGTGTGTCGGCTCTCAAAATATGCAGAAGCCGCCAAATGAATTATGCATCAAGGCCAAGGAGCCTCCCTGCCACATTATACATTGGAAAATGCTAAACGGATGTCGTCGTTGTTCTGAAGAGGCGGAATAGTTTGACGTCTAATGGAGAAAGTTTGGAATTTTGTATTGGTTCGAACATGATTGGTGAAATAAAAAGCAAATTAGAACTTTATCACCTTTAATATTGATAGGATCTATCACCAGATATGATTTATTCCTAATATTGTAAATTGTAAATTTAAAGTAAATATCAAATGAAGAATTCTTCAGAGTATTTAAAAGGTGCCCGGTCAATCCGACATTCAGATCGATGAGTTATGAGTTCAAGTTCTGAAGTTGAAACGAATCCCTTTGATTAACAACAGAGAAATGTGGAAAATTGCAAAATGTCACAAGGGCTCCTCTCCCGCTTAATATTTAATGCGTTGCCGGGCAGATGGCTCTTTTTGGTTTGATGTCCTTTGGCTGTAATTACGCCAACATCAACGTCAGTGCCTACGCTCCGGATGGGAGCCGAGCCTTTTGGCTTAAGCGCAGACACATGGCCAAGAGCTGCATAAAAGGATTGCATCTGTCTGCACTCGCACACACGCTCATTATGATTACTATGAGTAGTTTCCCTCCTTTGGCCGGCATTCAAGCCGAGTCTGTTGCTTTACCCTTCGACGTAATGGCCACCATTGCCACGCCTTTTCCCTTGAGCGCCCTGAAATGTGGCATTCAGTTGGATGCCGTTGGAAAAGAGTGAAAAGAGATAATGAGGATGGTAGTGGTAGATCCACAAAATGAGCATCGAGACCCGTTTAATAATAGTAACTCGAGATTGTTCTACGGACAACACTGTGGCGAGCACTTTTTACATAACAATTAGAATTGCTATTTATTTTATCATGTTGCTTAATGCAATTCGAAAATATAGATATCAGGAACTGAAAAAAGCACACAAACATGTCCATTGAGGAAGTGTATTGAAGTTTAATGTCCTTTGGCACTCAGTATTGCCATGTGAAGAAAAGGAATTTGATATTATGAGCGTAGGGATTACATGGCGCATAAAAATGATAATAAATAATCTTATAAAAACAAAGAGACTGCTTCTTACGTATGCTACATGTTTTGTAAAACAAGGAGTTTACCTCAAATTGCAGTTTCTTTTCTTCTTTTACAAAATATTAGTTTTAGTTTAGTTTATTAACATTGAGTTTCATTTAAAATTTATTACTAAATATAAAGAAAATGTAAATAAGGATTTCATTTAAACTAATTCCTTCCCATATGAACTTCACTGTTTTAATACTCCCATGGATTCCTGAATCCTATACAGAAGCTAGAGTGTGTGTGTCCGTGAGCTGCACGGAACCCACACATATCCCCTCCAGGACGAGCATACTTTTTAATATGTATGCATGTCTCCAGCGGTCCACTGCACAAGTGTGAGTGCGTGAGAGTGTGGAATGAGTAATGACTGCCTTCAGCCAGAGCATTTCAGCATTTCAGCAGTTGAGCATTTCAGCATTGGCAACGCGTTCCAATGTCCTTACACAGACAGTCGTTCGTTCATTCTGAAGGCTATGCACTCAGGCGAGGTCACAAATTGCACGGCAGGAGGGGAGAGCAGCGAAAGGAGGCGTCAGGACGAAAGGGAGAGTGCTAAAATGTTATGTAAAGTGTGTTGGCCAGCTTTAAGCCGACGGCTTTGATTGAGGACATTCTAGCACTGGAAATAATCAGGGAATGCTGAGCTAAAAACAAACTTTTTACCGATTTGAAATTAACTTTACATTAAACAAAAACTTTAATATTAGAGAAGAGCCTGCAGTAGTAATAAATAATATTAAAGCCGCGAGATAAAACTGCATTTTTCTCCCAGTGCAGACATAAAAAGGACATTTACATAGCGAACCGCGTGCAGCTTCCGCAAACGCATCCGCTGACGCCCAGCTGGCTTCCTCTTTCGCCGTTTCGGTGCCTCGGCATTCATTCATAATTGCAGGATGCATTTTGTTTTAGTTCTTTTAGCACCACCCTTCCTCTCCGGCTGGGCAAACATCAAGGATATCCTTGAGTTGGCACTGAAAAAATATTTGCACTAGCCCAGTTCTTTCAGTTCCTTTATTCCTCAGTGAGCTTTGCCACTTGTCGCCCGGCTCATGAATTCCGAACCCACAAATGTTCAACTCTTATTTGCCCTAATTGAGCTCGCGGCCAGGAAGTGGGCGGGCACTTAATTTAGTTACTCTTGGCCTGCCCTAGTGTGTGCGAGTGTCCGGCAAATGCAAATTGCATTCACATATTTTAATCGCCCTTCGGGCCACCAGGGCGCATACGTAATGGAATCGACAGCGCGGAAAATCGGAAACCCTAGTGTCAGCTAGCTCGTCCTGCTGCATAAGCCGACCTGGCGACCAAGCGCCAGTGTCTATGTGTGCTCTCGGCTTGCAGGGCAAATGTAATTTATGCCTATATAGGAGTCCTGCCTCCCTGTGTGGCTTTTGTTTCCCCCTTGCAGGGAAGTAGGGGTAAGTGACACATGGATAAGGGCGATCAGGCAGTTAATTCTCTGGGATTGGCTCTATTGAGCCCCGGAACCAAGTGGATTTCAGATAAGGTTTAGTGTTTACCGAACAGTTCTGAAATGTATTCAACATTTCTTTAGCTTTAGTTAGAAAGCTACAATCTTAATGCTAAATGAATGACTAAAGTTTGGGAATAAGGATTATTTAAAAGATTACAGATCCTAAGGAAAGCATTATTACTGTGATAATGTAGTCCCATTATTATAGTTGACCAGACTACAGAAACTTGGAATAGGTGTCGTACAAAGTTCCGGCGTTGTAAACAAACTTAGATAAAGTAACATATGAGTTTCGGCTAAGATCCGTAAAACTAAACTGCAAGATTTTCCACTCCCTCAAAGACTTCTTGTCAGCATTCATTTCCTGCCCAAGTCTGCCATGGTGATGTCCCCATTGTCGACGTAATACATGTTCAAGCATAAGTTTTCATTCTGCAGAACCCAAAATATTTTTACGGCTTCCAGCTAAAACTGTTTCCAAGTGAAATGCTTCCCGAGGAAGGTGGTTGGGTGGTGAGGAGGCGAAGAGTGACATAAATGACATCGACACGGGCAGAAATGTTTTGGCTGTGGTTCTCACGACAAAATTAATTGCCAAGAGGCTGAGGGAAAGCCCAATCAAAATGTCACACAGCTAGGAAATAGGACGAGATAGTAAACTGAAATCTACCAGTTAATAGTTTGAGCAATGGGATGATTCGTGGGATTAACAACAACGTTGCCGAATTTCAGGGCTTAGCTTAGGTTCCACTGCGGCAGGACCCTTGAGCTACCTGGCCAATGGATTTAAAGGACCCTGTAGAAGGCAAACAATTGGCTGCAGGATAATGGAGCAGTCCCCGCCGCCCCTTGGCCACTTCACTTGCATTAGTGCCAGCCTTGCCACAAACCGAACAAAGAAACGAAGCACTGACATTGACAGACTTAGCTAAGTTGACATGACTCT